GCAACACCATCAGAATTGTACATTTGTATTAGAACTTAAGGGATGGAGGCTTTAAGATTTCAGTGTTGGTTGTAAGGACACAGAGGCAACCACAACTTTATAGCTAAGTCTTGCCTTGGGAATCACAAAGGTGATTTTCACTAAAAAGCTAGGATTTTACATATTGACAGTAACAATGACACAGTAAACTAAGACTTGAGGCTCTGTCATAGGTAAAGGAGAAGAATCTATTTTAGAGAGATGAAAAGATTTGTTGTTGCCTTTAGAAAGGTAGGTTCCTGTTGACCTCTGAGAATGTCAGTCCTCCACCTGCTAATTTGATGGTTTGTAACCCCAGCCAAAAGGGTGGGTGTAATATAATGACTTCTTTATTTCCTACCTGCTGCAAGCTTATCCTTTTGGAACTTGGAGCACACATTTGCTATTTTCATAGCTTTTTATAAATAGAAGTAAGACTGATTGTATTCCACACTGTTGTTTCAAGGGTTTCCGGAAATGCTTCCTAGTTGTGCTTGAGTCAAATCTGACTTTGAAAGCATTTGGTAGTTTACTGGTATAAATTTAGCATCACCTCTGTAGGTCTAACACTGAAGAGGCAATTAAGTGAAAATCTTTTTCATTTGATACAATCTTTCTAGTCAAGTCTTGATTTAATTAACAAACTTCAGCTCTGGGGCAGGACAAAAGAGGATCCAATGAATTCTGCTGAAGGAAAAAAGTCTTTCAGTTGCAGTGAGCACCTAATTAAAAACTGACGCCAGCGTCTCCACACTCTCTTATAAAGGATTTGGAGGGCACTCACTCGGTTTCCTTCATCATCATTTTCATCCTCTTTTGGATTTAGTAGAGCTTTTCCCTTTCCTTTTAACCACCTAAACCAGCTCGTCTAAACTAGCAAGTGTTCCATAAATATTTATTGAAAGGATTGATACTTAATAAACTTTGACTATCAAGACAAAGGGTTATAAATTTATTTCAGTGACTAAAATAATCTATAAATGTATAGCAAATATATCATGATATATTTTACTATTTAATGACAAAGAAAATCCTAGAAATCTGCCTAGAAATCATTTGTTATTGGGTAAAAATTTAATGATTATTTCTTTGTTTCATGGTTAATACTTCTTGATTATTATTTGACCACTACTTCTGCAACACTCAGTGATTTTTGAGGGGTGTGTAGACAAACTGTTTCTAGGCCATATATGATTTTGAAGATTCTGTCAAACTAAGATTTTGCATTTCTTATGCGGCTGGGCGCACTGGGAAAAATATATTTCACCACAAGGCTAATGAATGGCTTTCAAAAAATGACTATATTATTCAATTAACTAATAGGCATAAAACCAATGGATTTTACTTATGTCTTAATAATCAATTATCGAGAGATTTGGGGGTGGGTTAGTTTAAGTAAATCTATTTCATTGACTTCTTTTCCCCAAAGGAAACTGAGAATGACAAAGAGGTGCAAGCTGTTCCAGCCACTTGACGTGCAAATCAATTTGGTTGGATTATAACTGAGAATTAAGTCCCCTTAAAAGGTGCAGGGCTTGTGCAGAACAACAGGGACTGGAGCATGAAGCTTTGAAATTGACAGTGAGTGACTAAAAGCTGTGCGTCAAGAGACTATAATTTGGCTGGATATACTATGGGAGTAATACAACAGCTGCAGGTTAGGTTATTGTCTTGATATAAAGATCTTAAGTGTCCCAACTGTCTTGCAGCTAGCCTGAGCCCTGTCTTAAAATGCTCCAGGAGCACTTTCCTGGTGTGTGGGCAGTTATTGATGAACAGAAAGGCTATTAATGGGAAAGAAAGTTAGATGGAACACTGTGCTCACTCTGCTTTTCTGGGAAAGCAATTAACAAGAAAATGGTTCCATTCTTAGTATTATTTGCAATTTTGACTCAGTATTTTCAAACTATGGTTCTGAAAATTATTCCCTTCCCTAGATCACATTTTTAGACTATAAACCACAAAAGAGATTATATTATAGGCGGCAAAAATCTAGTAATCCTCACTGACTCTGTTGTTCTTCAGTGTTTATTATGCATGCATGTGTTTGTGTATCTGTGCAGCCAGGTTAGATTTCAATAGGCAGGTTGCGTATGTCATTTGTAGGAGACAAGATTATGTCTAACAAAATTTGGAATAGCTGTTGTGGTTGGAAAGTTAAGGATTCTAAGTAGTGCAGTGACTTTACATCGAGCTGGACTGGAAAGGGAAGAACTTCTAACTTCCTGTGTGCCTGCTTTTTATATTAGATATCTGTTTTGGAAACAAAATGACAAAACAATGACCTAGGCATATAAAACAAGAAAACTAAAACGGAACTCATTGCTCAAAAGTAGAATTTGACTTAAAACCACCCTGCAGGACAGAGCAAAACGTACCAGCAGGGTTTCCAACTTTGTTAACTTTATGGACACTGACTGGCACGCCCTCCTCCAGTGGAGAGGCTGGTGGGTTCAAACCCCTGACCTTTCTGTTAGTAGTCAAGTGCTTTAACCAGAGTGCCTCCAAAGCACCATAAATATAAGCAAGTAGGACGGAAATAAAGCTGAACTAAACCAAATATCTATCCTTTCAGAGACAGAACTGTCACTCTTCCTTGGGCCCCGCACCAGCCAGAGTTTTCTCCTCTCTATGCCCTTATGCTCTCTCTTCCAGAAAAGATCTGAGTGCTTCATGCACAGATACTTCAAAGGTTCATAATGGTCCAGCCAGGAAGGTACATATAATGATTACTTTAAAATGTGCTTGAATGAAGGAAGAGAAACATCTTGATAATTTTCTCTTTGGGCCTGTGTTCTTTTGATTGTGTCTGTATGGAAATAAATGTTCAGGATCACACACACAAATTATACAATAAAAACTCCAAAGATTTGAGTAACACCACAATCTGATTAGCTCAAGGACTAATCATTCAGAAAAAAACCCAGTCCCTGACCTCATTAGTACTTCTCACCCAAGTTCCCTTAGTGATCATATTAATGATTATAAATCAGGTCCTGTAGTGGGGCTGAAAACGGAAAGAACCAACTGCACAGTGGAAGAGCTGCCAAGTAAACATGATTTCCCCAGAGTAAGTTTTAGTAAAATTTTTTCCACTGGAGTACTTCATCATGCACTTTGAGGTTCAATTATACAAAAGGATAGTAAAGGAATTTAGACCAAAGGTCTTTTTACATCCATATTTCTAAACACCAGCATCTAAAAGACATAAAGAAAAATCAGTGAGGCAGTCACTGAATAGCAAGGCATGTCCACAATCAAATTGTCATAAAACATGTAATATGATCAAACAGCTGAAGGTAAAAAATGCAAGAGGGATTTTAGCAGTTACTGAATTGAAACAACAAAAGAAAAGGCAGAGAACACTATTTAGTTTCCTAATTAAAAAAAAAAAAAAAACCAAAAAACTCCAATCTGCAACTCACTGCCATCAAGTCAGAACCAACTTAGCTGAACCTCCAGTGAATTTTGAGAAGTTATAAAAAACACTGGGAGAAAAAAAGAGGGATCTCAGAAGTCCTCCAGTGACCCGAGTACAGATAACAAATTTGGGGAGTGCATGTTTTTTGTTTTTTTCTATCTGTTCCCTTTAGTAAGAGAACATGAGGTAATTCAAGAGTATCCAATGCATTCTAGACTGTTCTGCTAATTGTCATAGGCAAGAGAAAGAAAATGCTTCAGAAAAGTAAGGCCTAGCAGAGGATTTGGTTAGAGGCCCCCCTTGAACAGGTTAGTCGCTACACGGAAATCTCATTATACACTTGATTTGTGGCGATGGTTTGATTGGTCACACTGTGGAAAAGGCTGGTTGCTGAGGTTGTCTCTCTTCATTCCTTCCTCAGCCTCCTTTTTTTTTTTTTTTACCGAGTTAGGTCCTCAGAGTGGCATTAGGAACATATGTCAGAACATTTTTTCAGAACATATCATTGGACGATTCCTCTACGTTAAGTATATGAATCTTATAATAGTTACAGATCTAATTTTTTTTAAAAAAATTAAATTTTTCATTTCAAAAATCCTCAGTCCCCACCCCTCACGAGGTCCCGTGAAGGGGCACTAAAGTGCATTTTGATGTAGGGGAGGGTAGAGTTGAAAGGTGCTGTCCAAGCTAAGAACCAAGATGATGCTGTTTAGAAAGAGAAAGGCAATTCCTTCACCTCCATCTCTGGAGTCAACTACGAGAGGGCACTGACCTAGACCCTCATGGGAGGATTGTCCTCTTAACTTTAGAGAAAACTGTGTAAGGACCTGCACATATAGATTCATTTATTTGTCCAAAATAGCAAAAATAGGCCTATTTCACCCTTAAGAAAGTATTTGCAAATCTGATCAGTTCTGATCATAAAAATGTGAATGGATTCCAGATGCAATCCACGTGGGCATGCTCGGCGGTACTAGCTATGCAACGTCAGCAGAAACGAACGTGCGGCTGCTCAGTTTCATTAAAATGTGACTCCTAAAACTACCATAAATAAAATACACGTGGAACAAGTAAATTTTTTTTGTCTCACCGTAATTACTTTTACATTAAAAAGTCACCATAATCTTCAGTTATATCGAAAATTAGGACTCTAAAATCTGATTCTTTCCCAGTCTTAGTTAACAATCTTGCACAGGCCCGGTACTGCGAAACTTGGAGCTCTGAGCTTACACAGCCCTAGCAGGTTTTCACACAGTTTGACAGGTAGGCAACTGTGAGAGAATGCATTTTTTAAAATTACCGTTTTTCTATCAAAACAGTCTGAAATCTTTTAAAATCCTTTTATAGACTGTATTTGTGCAATGCCACAGTCATGTAGCTAGAAAGGGCGCGGGGGGGGGCGGGGGTTGGGGGGGAAGGAAAGAAAGAAATACAGCCTGGAACATTGATCACAGTCCACATTTTCTTGGTCCACAGTTTAAAGAACAATGATCTGAGGGAATCTCATTAAATACAGTGCCTTAAATATTAGGGGGAGGTGGTCCTAGGATGAGTTAAGCCTCTAGACAGGGACGGTCTCCACCACGGGTGATTTGATGCACTCCTCATGCAATCTGCTCTTTTCTGCAAGGCTCAAGGAATTTTCAGCAGGATGCTCTGAAATATGACTGTCACCATTCAATGTAGAGACAAACCCTTCCTGAGAGGGGCCTTTCAAGTATGAGTGAAATTCCACTTGCGGATGGTTGGACCTGTGTTCGGGATATAAGCCACCGCAGGGCACACTGCTATCATTTTCTGAAGAGGAGCAGCAAACGATCACGGAGGGGTTGGCGGCGGGGTAGTGGGAGGCACCGTAGGCCTCTTCTGCTTGTCGAGCGTAGTCAACAAACTGCTCCGGCGTCATCGCATAAGGCACCAACGAGAGGGTACCATTTTTGACAGTATCTCTTTCTGAATAGTTCTCCGAGATCTGGCTGGGAGTTCCTGGAATGTGGCTGTCTATTTGGTAATACAGCGTTGAGGAGTTGGCATAAAAGGAAGCATTTTTTGCGTGGCTCTCGTGCACAGCGGTGCCATCGGAGTAACAGAGGACCGAGGGAAGGGGGACAACGTCAGCGTGCGCGCCCAGACCTTCCACGAAGCTGTCTCCTTTCTCCTCGTCGTCCTCTTCCTCCTCTTCCTCTTCCTCCTCCTCCTCTTCCTCTTCGTCGTCTGATTCGCTGGGCGCCAAGCTCTGCGTGCTGGAATCCGTGACACCGCTGCAGAAGCTGCTGCCGTCTTCCTCCTCCTCCTCCTCCTCCTCTTCCACGTGGCAGTCCAATTCCTCCGCCGACTGCAGGTGCAGCACGGCGGCCTGCGGCTCGGTTTCAATCTCAAAATTGTCTGCGATGGCATATTCCACGGAGTGAGCGACCGGGCCCATGGCACTGCCGTGGGCGCTTATCTCGGCGTGGCAGCCGTTCAGCCCGGGGATTTGCTGCTCTTGGTTTTTCTCCAGTTCAAGTTTCATTATGGTGTGCAAAAAGTGAGTCCGGACACGGATAGGATTAAATTCGATTCTACCTGCGGTGTTACTACAGCCTTCCTTAGTGCAGCCACAGGGGAAAGACATCCGATCCACCTTGGAAGGAAAAACACACATTAGCCCATGGAACTATCACAGACCAAATAAAAACCCGGTACCTCTCAGTGCCCACTGTGCATTTGATACTAATTACACTTTTGCCAGAGGAAATGACAATCAAATTGCAAGGAGAAAAGGGGAAATGAAACTTAAAAAAAGGGCGTGTTAATCTTAGTTGTTTGTTTTTTTTTAATGATCTATATTTAAAATGAAGGAACTCTGGTGGCTTAAGTGGTAAGGAGTTGCTCTGCCAGCCCAAAAACAAGCGGTTTGAATCCAGCAGCTGCTTTGTGGCAGAAACATAGGCAATCCTGTGTGATTCATAGCCTCTGAAAACGTCCTGGTGGGTCAGCTATGTGCTGGTACATAACAACACATTTAAAATGACGCCTTTGGGTGCAACAATTTGTGTCCATCTAATAACCAAAACATTGGTGGTCAAACTTATTCTGCAGAGCCACAGGACAAAGCCCTGCAGAACTGTTTCTGCAAAGCCTAGATAACCCCACAGCACAGATCTACTCTGTAATTCATGGGGTCATCATGAGTGAGAATTAACTGAGTGGCAACAGGATTGTTTGGTTCCCTCCCAAAATAAAATAAGCTACGGTCATCATGGATAGTACAAATGGTAACCACATTCAGTTGTTTACTGAAAGGTAAGAGGTTCAAGTCCATTAAAGGTACCTTGAAACAAAGGCCTAGGCTAACAATCAGCCTCTAGAACCAAGGGGTGCAGTAATATTCTCGTACACATGAGGGCGCCATAGTCAGAACAGACTCAGTGGCAACTGCGATGGCCATAAAGCTGGCCCCTCCAGCTTTCTTTGCTCCCTCTTTTTGTTCCCTCTCTAAATACATTCATTTGGTTCCAATTTTTCCAATGTTTCTATTATACCCTAAATTCCTTTTCCTTCCACTGTGTAGTGTCCTCATTTTCGGCTACTAGTTTAAATAGATATTGTCAGAATTCCCTATGATCATTCCGTTCTTTTCCTTCTCTTGCCATTCTGTTTGAAATTAATTTCTCCTCCCAAGGTTTCCAGACCACCTTCTCTTTGTTATTCATCATCAAGTGAGAACCAATCCATAGTTGACCCTCCAGCGGGTTTTCAGAGACTATAAATCATACAGGATTTCCTGGTTTTGCCACAAAGCAGCTGGTGGATTCAGAGGAGGAGGTTGCCCATCCTTGTCCTGGGAGCAGCTGGTGGATTCAAATCGTGTGTGGCTGTGGGACCACCAGAGCTCCCTACCTTCTCTTTAGCATCTGACAATTCTCTCATTGACTTTCCTTCTTGGTGTTTGGCCCCGGGGCATCAGGGTCCATGTGGCTATCACATGCTGTGCTGACTGTGCACACCCATGATCAGGGCAGTGGACTCACCTGTGCAGATCCTGGTACATCCCCCCTCCCTTCTCTATGGTATTAAAAGGTATCAGAACTTTTTCTTTCCCAATTTAATTTTTTTTATATTAGCTTGCTTACAAAGTTCATACATTGTGTTTCACACCATTCTTCATTCATAATTTATTGAGAGGGAAGAATGTTGATTTTATCAATGTCTCAGAACTATCCCCCTCACTGCGCTCTGTGGATTGAGTGGTAAATAACAAATGTTGATTGTCTGATTTGTCCACTGAGGTGATAAACGGAATTAGGAGTGATCCTATGGCAGTCCTAAAGTAGGTGTTCACTGTTTCACACTCTACATATAAATCCGTGTGCTGATCAGAGTCCAGGTAAGAGAAGAACTTGCTCCACTTGCTACCTTGGCCTAGACCATGGAATAGACTCCAGTGGAGTCATTCTGGCCCGACTATACGGAGCCACAGATGTCAGAGCAGGCATCTGCAGCTATTTTGTGACTGAGGGACTTCTTCTCTGTGAATCCATCTCAAGCATTTTTTCAGCTGAAGACTTCCCTCCCCTTTTTATCTACCTGAGTGGATTTCCTTATTGCAAAGGCTGAAATATTCCATACAACTTAACCAACTATGGGACAAGCTGGTGGTACAGTGGACTAAGCATTAGACTACGAACTAAAGGCCAGTGATCTGAATCTACTAGCATCTCAACAGGATACAAATGAGGCAGTTAAACTTCCTAAAGGCAGACAGCCATGGAAACTTCATGGAGCAGTACGACTGCCACTCTGTCTTACAGGGTCACTGTGAGTCAGCTCAGCTTGAGGGCAGTTTTGATTCTGGTTAATCATGTAGCACCAATACTATTATGGATAAATAAGGACCTTCTAATCCTCTAGTCTAGGGTTTGGTAATTTGGTTTTGATTTTTTGGTAAAGTGTTAAAAAGGGTAAATAGTTTGTATTTGTGAGTCATGTATTTTTGCTAAGTATTATTGAGTCAAAACCTATTCATAGCTGAACCTCCAGAGGGTTTGCAGAGGCAGATAATCATGTGCAATTATTACTTGTTCTGCATTGGAAAGTTGGACACTGGTTAAAGATGACAGAAGAATGGTGTCTGAGCTGTGGTGTTGGAGAACAGTACTGAATATCCCATGAACTGACAAAAGAACAAACAAATACGTGTTGGACAAAGTGCAGCCAGGGTACCCCTTGGGCAAGGATGGGAAAGCTTCATCTCGCATGTTTCGGACATATTGTTAGGAAGGGCTGTTCCTTGGAAAAGGACACCATGGCTGGAAAAGTGGAGGGTCACTGAAAGAGAGGAAGACCCTCAACAATATGGACTTACACAGTGTCTATACCAATGGGATCATGTATATCAGAGATGAAGACAGCACAAGACAGGGCAGGGCAGAATACTATTAGTCCCATTCGACTAGACTACACCTAATAACAATAGCAAATTACATGGGAGGAGATTGCTCATCTTTCTCCTGAAGAGCATCTGGTGGATTCAAACTCTGTGCGTTTGGGCTGGCAGCACAACTTCTTACCACGAGGCCACCAGAGGTCCTTGTAATGGGTCATATGGACTATTAATTATTTTGTGCTGCTAATGGTACTTGACACTGGGGAAACATTAGGGTCTGTCTGAATGCCTCCTAGAATGTCTTGTCTGTGGGTTCCCTTACCTGACACTTAATGCCTGCGAGGCTGCAGGTGCACGTTTCCGGGTCGCAGAACACCCTGCAGTCGCAGCCACAGTCCTCTCGTGACAGGCGGATGGCACGCAGCTCATGCTTCTCCTCCACATCAATCTTCTTCACGCCGGAGGCTCGCAGCAGCGCTCTCCGCTTCTTTGTGGGCAGGGGTTGAAGAAAGAAGTACTCGTCTACCTCCGTGTTGTCCAAATCAATGTCATCATCAGAAATGTCATCCACCGTGAGGGTGCTCGCTTCCTCAGACTCCACGGTGCCATTCTTCGTCATCTGCAAACACCAAGCGGTCAATAGAGAAATTAGTATGGCCAGTATCTAAAAATCCCTTCTTTCATATTTGGCAAAAATTAAACAGATAACAGATTATATTTCTCCATAATCAGTAAGTGTTCACCAGTCAAGTAATCTCCTCTTCTTTTTTTAAAAAAGAAAAATAACAAGAAGGAAACAAAGTACACATGATGGGCTTTCAGGAATGCTGGAAACTGTAAGAAGACTCTTAAATCAGAACTTTCAAATTCCAAATGTTCAGGACTACCCTTGTTAGAGCCCTGATGATATGCAAAACACCAAAGTCAGAGTTAAAAGTCATGTGAGTTCATCATGGGCAGTTCTGAGGTGGTTGTTCACAAGTGCTAGCATCTAAGGGGTCAGCAACGCGGCCCGCCCAGCTAACATGCTGCTCTTGAAGTAACGATTTTGCTTTTTTAGACACTAGTGATACCATCATTCAGGAAATAAGGTTGTGCTGCACTGTGCTACTGGGATTACAAACAAGGTTACTCTAATGAGCATTCCAAGAATGTGGGCTTGATTGGAAGTAATCAGTGAGGTCAGCATGCTCTCCATAAGACAAGGAGCCCAGGGCAGTTCTGGAACATTCTCACCAACTGGCAAGTAACAGAGTCAGCTCTCAAAGGAGTTCACACCAACCTCAGCCCAACACAAGACCTTCTGCACAACAGCTCATGTGGACGGCGTAACTCACAAACTCACTACTCAGTTTCTATTTTTATTTCTGTTCTAAATTAATCTCATCCATTAGTAAACCTTGAATCATACTCCACTTCTTTTAAACCACCACATATTAGACTTCTTCTTTAAGATATATTTAGAGTGGGAGTAAGTTACTGAAAAGAAAAAAAAAATGATGCTTTTAGAAAAAGAAATTTTCTCTAAATGTGATCAAAGAAATGTATTCTGGGAAGCAGCGTAGGCATGTTATTGTTGCTATGTGCATTCAAGTTGCTTGCGACCCTATGTACAGCAGCTCTGAACCCTTCCGAGTCCTGAGCCAGACTTACTGATTCCGACACACCAAGTGCCATTGCCCCAGTTATCAATCCATCTCATCCAGGGTTTTCCTCTCCTGTCCCTCCACCTTTCCAAGCATGATGTTCTTCTCCAAGGACCGATCATCACATGCCCAAAGTATATGAGAGGACTTCAAAATCCTAGCCTCCAGAGGGGAACTTGGTTTCACCCTCTCCAAGACAGACCTATTTGTTTTCTTGGTGGTCATGGTATGTTCAAGACTCTTCTCCAGCACCACAACTCGAATGCATCTATTCTTCTCCTAGCATCCTTAATCATTATCCAGCTCTCTGAAGCATATCCAGATTAATTGACATCTTTAAACTTCAACGCTCTGGAGAGGCCCCTGTCAGCAAATTTTCCCAATCTAATTTTTCTTTTGATTTCCTGACTGCTGGTGCCAAGAGTGCTGATTATGGAGCTGAGCAAGCTGTAACTGTTAACAACCTCAATCTCTTCATCATCCATCATGGTGCTACCAATTGGCCCAGTGGTGACAATCTCTTAAGTCTTGATGTTGATCTTCAATCCACATTGAAGACTACGGTCCTTGACCTTCTGCAGCAAGCACTTCAGATCCTTTTCAGTTTCAACAAGCAAGATTGTGTCATCTACATAATGTAGGTTGTTGACGAGTCTTCCTCTAATCCTGATGCCACATTCTTCCTTACAAGCCCCAACCTCCTGAATGATCTGTTCTGCATATAGATTGAAAAGGTATGGAGACAGGATGCATCCCTGATGCACTTTTTTCCTGATTTTGAACCATGTAGTGTTTCCTTGCTCTATTCTGAGGACTGCTTCCTGGTTCAAGTACAGGTTTTACATAAGCACAATCAAGTGTTCTGAGATTCCCATTTTCCTCAAGTTTAGCCATAATTTGTTGTGATCCACATAGTCAAATGCCTTTGCATAGTCAATGCAACACAGCCAGACATTCCTCTGGTACTCTCTGCTTTCTGCCAATATCCATCTGACATTGGTGATTATGTCTCTAGGGCTATCACCTCTTCTAAACCCAGCTTGTATTAAACATAAAAAAATACACAGCTATATATATTGGCCCAGGAAGTATGAAACACAGAAACTATTTTAACTCTAGTTTTTGTTGTTCAGAAAAATTTGACCCATAAATATAATTAATTGTAATTATTACCACGATTTTAAAATTTACTCTCCAAGCATCACACAATTTAAACACTATGGGGATATGAGACAGTCTTTCATTTTCACAGGAAAGATGTAACATTAGATAAGAGCATGTTATTGGCCAAAAAGACCAATTGTACAACTCTACATACAAACTGAAAACGGAGTCTTTTCCCTTAAGGAGATAAAAGTTAATATGAAGGAATAATGAATGAATGAATAAAAAAACCTCAAACTTCAAACAACTTAAAATAAAAAACGGGGGGGGGGAAGTTGTATTCACTTTTTATCAGAAGAAACACTTAATAAAATCAAACATGCTAAAATTTTGTCCTGGGAGTAACAAGTTATTTAACCTCTTTAAATGTCTTACAAAATTCTGTATTATCAGTAGTGAAAGACTTGGCTAAAAACAATGTGCAAAAATATATCTAAAAGGATACTTGATATACATTTTTTAAGGCTGGCCAATTATGTTTAATTTTTTTAAATTATAAAATTATAACTATCATACAGTATCTGTTTCTGATCTCCATCTTGTTTTTATATTTGGCTATTATGCCCTCTTCTCTAATACTTCCATAAAATGTGCATATTTTGTGGCATTTACCACACTGTATCACCTTTCTTATACGATTATCTCCAAAACAGATTAGAAGCTTCTTGGATGATAAAACTGCCATATAACTGTGTGACCCAAGTACATATGTGTGCATGCATATGTATGTACTTATACACACATATGTATCTTTTATTGTTGTGTGTCATTGGGCAGAACTGGAGCTGACCCTTCAGTGGGTTTTCAGAGGCAGTAATCGCATGGGAGGAGACTGGCCAGCCTTCGCCTTCACATACAATCTCCTAGTTATTACAAGGGTATTGATGCATATAAAAGTGTAGAAGTAAGAATGTGCAAAAAAGAATTCAGTTCCTTAGAGATTACTGCCTACTATAATGAATATTATTATGCTGGGAATGACCCATGTTACCAGAGTGAGTACCGAGCACTGAGTTCTGTACTTATATAAATTGCATCACTTACAGTACATAAAAATTATACGTAGTATTATATTATAGCTTATAAAACTGAACTGTGGAAGAAAATGATTTGCCTATGTTTAGTCACACAGCTGTTTAGTGATAGAGATAATTTTCAAATGTATGCTTATTTAATACTCAAAAACTTGAGCCGGGCTCATAAGAACTGCTTAGGAAAAAAGTTCTCAAAGTAATGTTGGAAAAAAATACAAAAGCAAATAAAAAAGGTGGCTGTTGATGGGATCCAAAAGCTTTAGCTCAGTACAAACTTTAGAATTAACACATTTAAAACATGAAAGTCACAGAAAACAAAAACTCTAAAAGCACAGGGAGGAAAAAAAGAAAAGAACAAAGTAAAACTATTTTCATCTGAGTGAGGAGGGTGGAGGAGTGGCAGAGTCTGAGCAACTCCACAACGGGGAAAACTCTCCATCAACACCACCAACAGCACACAACCAATTCCTGTCAGTCAGACACGTCCCCACAGTCTTCTATCTTTCTATCTTGTCTAACACCAATTGTTCCTTCCTCAGCTCTCCCTGTGCTATTATTTGTTCGCTAATTTATTGCAGTAGTCACACAGAACTCAAAGACAATACTCATGATTATGTGATTAGGTTTATTAGGGAGATAACAGAGTTTCAGCTCAGGTTGGAAAGCCTTAGGATACAATTCTTTAGTCAGGACGGCTTCTCAGGTGTGCTGTGGGCATCTGACATTCACTTCTCACATGTGCTTGTGGGCATCTGACCTTTACCCTCATGGCTCTGGGCCTTGCTGGTGAGCTCTGGGCTGGTGTTACAAAGCTATTTTAATCCTGCCAACTGAGTGTGTCCCCCTATTCCATCAATGTAAGGCTGCGCTAAAAGGCTGGGCTCTAATTCTATCAGGCGGCGGTTCTAGTTCAGCTTGGGCTCTCTCTCATGGCTCTGGATCAGTATTCTAAAGTTAACCACGCTGGTGGAGACTGCCCATCTTTCTCCCATGGAGCAGCTGGTAGATTAGAACCACATACCTTTGAGTTGCCAGTGAAATGCAATTCCTGACCTCCAGGCCAATAGAGCTCTCCTGAAAGCTCTTTTAGGTCTGTCATTTAGGTGTGCTTCCCTTATCCCCACTAAGGCTAAGATGCCAAGTTTTGGCTCCTTAGCATGGGAAAAATGAAATGTGGTCTTATTTAGGATCCAATACTATTAGATGGATTGCCTTGAATTCTCCCCAAAATTTTTATATTTTATATAAATATAAATATAAATATATATATATTTCCCAACTTTTGCATTCCAGTCACCCATTATTATCAATGCATCTTGACTGCATGTTCAAGCGATCTTCAACTGTAAAAGTTGGAGAAATCTTCTATTTCCTCTTTGGCTCTGGTTGTTGGTGCATATATCTGAATGATAGTGGTATTCACTGGACTTCCTTGTATGCATATGGATATTATCCTGTCACTCACAATATTGTACTTCAAGAAAGATCAGAAATGGCTTTTTTAACTATGAAAGCAACCCCATTTTTCCTCACCTTTTCATCTCCGGACTAGTATATCATATGATCATCTGACTCAAAATGCCCCATGCTGGTCCATCTCATCTCACCAAGGCCTAGTATGTCAATATTTATGCGTTCCATTTCCTCCTTAATAATATCTAATTTTCCTACATTCATGGATCTCACATTCCATGTTCCAATCACTAGTGTCTGCTTACAACTGTTCCCCTTCCTTTGTATTTCCAAATTCAGTTTCCCTTTCTGTCATTCTACGT